CTACGGCTTTCGAGAGAGTGCAGATTCAGGGCCCTCAGTCTATCCTCATAGGGAAGATTTCTGATACATGGGATCATCTTTGTCATCCTCCTCTGTACGTTTTCCAGAACATTTATATCCATTCTGTAATACGGTGACCAGAACTGAGCAGCATAGTCTAAATGAGGCCTAACCAAGGATATATAGAGTTGAAGAACAACCTGAGGACTTCTATTATTTATACTTCTAGATATGAAGCCAAGAATTCTGTTAGCTTTATTGCGAACTTTCTTATGTTCTTATGTACTGTTGTCTTGGTTTTAGATTACTGCTAACCAGAACTCCTAAATCCTTTTCGCAATCAGTAGTATTAAGATCTACATTATTTAGTTTATGTGTGGCATGGTTATTTTCCTGTCCAACATTTAGAACTTTGCATTTGTCAATATTAAACTGCATCTGCCACTTCTCCGACCATTGCGTCAGTCTATTCAAATCATCCTGGAGTGCTTTAGTGTCCTCATTAGAATGAATTAGACAGCTCTTGTGTGTATAACACTGATTACTCCTAGGAGTTTAGTGCATAGAAATGAGGCACTGTAGAAACGTGGCGGCTCTATAGACACGTAGCAATGTATAGGGGAGGCCACTGTAGCCAGTAGTGAATAATGAATGAGGTGCGAGTATCGTAGAAGTGAATATCGAGTCAACAAGAGTAATTCTCTCGAGTCACGAGATGTCTCTCATCTCAAGTTATATATCTCTTAAGAACCTGCCTTGATGCTAGGAAAGGGTTCTTGATTCAGTGAACTGGGGTTATCAACCCCTTCCTCGGATTAAACAGAGTTATCTCCTTTTCTAGAGGCTTTGTATGACCCTTACGATTTTAGTGCTCTCCAGCAATAATGACAATATGAAGAGTAACGAGTGGTTCTATTGCAGGGCAACGAGTGGTTCTATTGCATGGCAACGAGTGGTTCTATTGCAGGGCAACGAGTGGTTCTATTGCAGGGCAACGAGTGGTTCTATTGCAGGGCAACGAGTGGTTCTATTGCAGGACAACGAGTGGTTCTATTGCAGGACAACGAGTGGTTCTATTGCAGGACAACGAGTGGTTCTATTGCAGGACAACGAGTGGTTCTATTGCAGGGCAACGAGTGGTTCTATTGCAGGGCAACGAGTCGTTCTATTGCAGGGCAACGAGTGGTTCTATTGCAGGACAACGAGTGGTTCTATTGCAGGGCAACGAGTGGTTCTATTGCAGGGCAACGAGTGGTTCTATTGCAGGGCAACGAGTGGTTCTATTGCAGGGCAACGAGTGGTTCTATTGCAGGACAACGAGTTGAGTGTTTGTAGGTAGGGTTGTCTGAGTAACTATAATAATGATAGTAATGTATTTTACAAGTACATCATACAACTTAAACAAACCATAGCTGATATCAATGACATACTATATAGAAAGCCCCTTGTTATGTAGAGCATTTCGGGCAAATTAGGTTAATTTTGTCTCCAGGATGCGATCCACACCAGTCGACTAACACCCAGGTACCTATTTTACTGCTAGGTGAAAAAGGGACAGCAGGTGTGTAAAGAAACACGTTCTGATGTTTCCACCTTTACCACTGGCCCGGTGGCCTGGTGGCCCGGTGGCCCGGTGGTCTGGTGGCCCGGTGGCCTGGTGGCTGAAAGCTCCCGGGTTCGATTCCCGGCGGGTGGAAACATTTCGACACGTTTCCTTACACCTGTTGCCCTGTTCACCTAGCAGCAAATAGGTACCTGGGTGTTAGTCGACTGGTGTGGGTCGCATCCTGGGGGACAAGATTAAGGACCCCAATGGAAATAAGTTAGACAGTCCTCGATGACGCACTGACTTTCTTGGGTTATCCTGGGTGGCTAACCCTCCGGGGTTAAAAATCCGAACGAAATCTTATCTTATCTTAACTACGGACCTCAATGTGTGAACAGTGCGCTACCATCCGAGCAACGGGACACCTATCTTCAAGTCTGCCAACCAATTTACTCCTTATTACAGGTATAATTGCTTGTTTTCAGTACGTTATAGACTGGCACAGAGATACCCAGTCATAAAAAGATATACAGTGGACCCCCGCATAACGATTACCTCCGAATGCGACCAATTATGTAAGTGTATTTATGTAAGTGCGTTTGTACATGTATGTTTGGGGGTCTGAAATGGACTAATCTACTTCACAATATTCCTTATGGGAACAAATTCGGTCAGTACTGGCACCTGAACATACTTCTGGAGTGAAAAAATATCGTTAACCGGGGGGTCCACTGTATTTTCTTCCTGATGTGCCTGTAATGGCATCTCCAACGTCAAAGACCTGGGAGTGATTATGTCGGAGGATCTCACCTTCAAGGACCATAACATTGTATCAATCGCATCTGCTAGAAAATGACAGGATGGATAATGAGAACCTTCAAAACTAGGGAGGCCAAGCCCATGATGACACTCTTCAGGTCACTTGTTCTATCTAGGCTGGAATATTGCTGCACTCTAACAGCACCTTTCAAGGCAGGTGAAATTGCCGACCTAGAAAATGTACAGAGAACTTTCACGGCGTGCATAACGGAGATAAAACACCTCAATTACTGGAGCGCTTGAGGTTTCTAAACCTGTATTCCCTGGAACGCAGGAGGGAGAGATACATGATTATATACACCTGGAAAATCCTAGAGAGACTAGTACCGAACTTGCACACGAAAATCACTCATACGAAAGCAAAAGACTTGGCAGACCGATGCACCATCCCCCCAATGAAAAGCAGGGGTGTCATAGCACGTTAAGAGACCATACAATAAGTGTCAGGGGCCCGAGACTGTTCAACTGCCTCCCAGCACACATAAGGGGGATTACCAACAGACCCCTGGCAGTCTTCAAGCTGGCACTGGACAAGCACCTAAAGTCAGTTCCTGATCAGCCGGGCTGTGGCTCGTACGTTGGTTTGCGTGCAGCCAAACAGCAACAGCCTGGTTGATCAGGCGCTGATCCACCAGGAGGCCTGGTCACAGACCGGGCCGCGGGGGCGTTGACCCCCGAAACTCTCTCCAGGTAAACTCCAGACAACAGTAAGATACTGACTGTCGAAGGTGTGATATACAAATAACAGGTAAACCCGCACGTAGGAGACTCTTATGACGACTTTTCGGTCCAACTTAGACCACTTGAAATGTGACTTTTAAATGGTTCAGGTCGGACCGAAACGTTGTAATGAGCTCCTCTCTGTGTGCTGGTTATTTACGTATTGTTTCAGTCTCGGAACAATACACAAATATCCTGTTTATTCTTTAAGATCGTGTAAGAAGCGCTGATAAAAACAGCGTGTCAGAAAAGTGCAACTTTACTAAATGTTTTCATTAACTTGAAAAGGCGAAACGTTGCCTCAAGGACTGATGAATAAGAAATGTGCAACACCTGGGTGTATCTATTATGAAGACATTTCGCTAATCAGTGACCCTTTTTCAGTTCAATACAGCACAAAAGGCACTGGTTGGCGAAACGTCGAAATAAACGCGACAGGTATTGAACAAGTGTCTTGCTGAACAAATAAAGTATAATGAACACTTGTCAGTGTTCAATACTAACTCACATGGCGACAGAAACACAGGAGGCTGATTAATCTGTTTATTTCGATCCCCTTTTGGGATCCTCATCACCTGAAGAGGACCACAGAAGGGAGTCGAAATATACAGATCAATCAACCTCTTATGTTTCTGTCTTCATGTGTCTTATTTATCAACATACCTGGAGAGAGTTCCGGGGGTCAACGCCCCCGCGGCGCAGTCTGTGACCAGGCCTCAAGGTGGACCAGGGCCTAATCAACCAGGCCGTTACTACTAGCCGCACGCAGTCCAACGTACGAACCACAGCCCGGCTGGTTAGGTACTAACTTTAGGTGCCTGCTTGAAGACAGCCAGGGGTCTATTGGTAATCCCCCTTACATATGCTGGGAGGCAGTTGAACAGTCTTGGGCCCCGGACACTAAAAGGTTTGCATTCTCTCATGTTAACTAACGAGCAATAATCCGCTCTGACTAGTCGTGCCTCTAGTAACTCGTACTAGAGGCAGGTCAGCTGCAACTAGATTAGCCCCAAAAATCTTACACAAATCACGGAAATATTTATTAGCATAGATTTGACATTATTTCAAAAGAAAAAACAAAGGGAATTAAAGCAGGAGGTACTGGCCTTTTTTCGTGTGTTATCTCAGATCGATTACATTGGGAATAACAACGGATCTATACTTTCTGAATTGCTTTGTAGGTGTTAACACCCAGGTTACACTTCCTGGATGTTAACTAGGTCAGAGAATTACTTAGAGCAATTCAAACACCTTTGACAAGCACCTGATGTCGTCAGTTTGCCTCTCAGTAAATAGGTACCAGGGTTCACGACATCGTAACATGATTTCAGACAAATCGGGGAAAGGATGAGGGTTTGAACCCATGGCGAGTGAGTTCACAAGCCAATGCGTTAACACCAGGGTGTTAGCAAACTGTACTGGTAGCATCCTGGGGAGAGGGTTAAATTACAATAATGTGAATAGAATAAAGTAATGGCCCAATTACCTTGAAATAAATTATATTAATGGGAATGGGCTACAACAATAAATAACCTACAGTACGAAGGTAATCAAGTGTAATTCGAGGAATGTAAGAGAAGCTTCAGTTCCATGAAGCAAGAATCCTTTAGCAGCATCGTGTCACCCACCATCAAGGATACGAACCTATGGATCTGTTATTGTAAGTCTATGATTTAGACTCGCATGCTACAGGAGCATTGCATCTCGTACCATCACGCTTCCCGGGGGACCTTTTTGCTGGCTACGCCGTGAGATGTTTTTCGCTTAGCTGTGAAAGTATTGTCAGTAGCATATGAGCGAGTCGACCAATGTGCTGGGTACCTAAGTACTGGGTTTAGCACCCGGGAGTGTGCCTAGCACTGTGCTGGGTACCCAGGTACTGGGTCTAGCAGATGGCACTGTGTTGGGTACCTAGGTACTGGGTCTAGCGCTCGGCACTGTGTCTAACACTGTCTTGGGTACCCAGGTACTGGGTCTAGGAGCCGGCACTGTGCTGGGTGCCCAGATGCTGGGTACCCAGATGCTGGGTACCCAGATACTGGGTCTAGCAGATGACACTGTGTTGGGTACCTAGGTACTGGGTCTAGCGCTCGGCACTGTGCTGGGTACCCAGGCACTGTGCTGGGTACCCAGGTACTGGGTCTAGCACCCGGGGTCCCTCCAGGATTGTTGGGGTCCCTCCAGGAGTCTTGGGGTCCCTCCAGGTTCTTGGGGTCCCTCCAGGAATCTTGGGGTCCTTCCAGGTTCTTGAGGTCCCTCCAGGTTCTTGGGGTTCCTCCTGGAATCTTGGGGTTCCTCCAGGTTCTTGAGGTCCCTCCAGGTTCTTGAGGTCCCTCCAGGTTCTTGAGGTCCTCCAGGAATCTTGGGGTCTCTCCAGGTTCTTGACATTAGTTTAAGGGCTGAGAACAGCACTAGCAAGACGCCTCGCGAGTCAAGGCTGCTCCTTGTGATCAATAATGGAATTTTTAAGTACAGTAACATTAAATTTAATCCTTGTTAAGACCTGGGAAAAAACTTAAGAGGAAGTCAAAGTCACTTTAAGGTCGGTAACGAGGCTCTAACTTTCTTCCTCCCTTCCCCCGTCCGCTAGTGAGAAGGAAGCCTTTGAAGCTCTCTTAGCTGATGAGCTCTTAATGGAATATCTACTTTGATGATATTGCCCTTCGGAAGCCTCTCAGCTATGGCTCACACATTTCGACACTCGTCGGAAGCCTCTCAGCTTTGGCTGACACATTTCAACACTCTTAGGAAGCCTCTCAGCTCTGATTCATTTCAACACTCTTTGGAAGCCTCTCAGCTCTGACTGACACATTTCAACACTCTTTGGAAGCCTCTCAGCTCTGACTGACACATTTCAACACTCTTCGGAAGCCTCTCAGCTCTGGCTGACACATTTCAACACTCTTAGAAGCCTCTCAGCTCTGGCTGACACATTTCAACACTCTTAGGAAGCCCTCGCTCTGGCTGACACATTTCAACATCTTCGGAAGCCTCTCAGTTTGGGCTGACACATTTCAACACTCTAGGAAACCTCTCAGCTCTGACTGACACATTTCAACACTCGTCGGAAGCTCTCAGCTCTGGCTGACACATTTCAACACTCTTAGAGCTCTCAGCTCTGGCTGACACATTTCAACACTCTTTGGTAAGCTCTAGCTCTACTACTATTTCAACACTCTTAGGAAGCCTCTCAGCTCTGACTGACACATTTCAACACTCTTAGAAGCCTCTAGCTCTGACTGACACATTTCAACACTCTTTGGAAGCCTCTCAGCTTTGACTGACATATTTCAACACTTTAGGAAGCCTCTCAGCTCTGGCTGACACATTTCAACACTCTTTGGAAGCCTCTCAGCTCTGACTGACATATTTCAACACTCTTAGGAAGCCTCTCAGCTCTGACTGACACATTTCAACACTCTTAGGAAGCCTCTCAGCTCTGACTGACACATTTCAACACTCTTAGGAAGCCTCTCAGCTCTGACTGACACATTTCAACACTCTTAGGAAGCCTCTCAGCTCTGGACTGACACATTTCAACACTTTTGGAAGCCTCTCAGATCTGACTGACACATTTCAACACTCTTAGGAAGCCTCTCAGCTCTGACTGACACATTTCAACACTCTAGGAAGCCTCTCAGCTTCTGACTGACACATTTCAACACTCTTTGGAAGCCTCTCAGCTCTGACTGACACATTTCAACACTCTTAGGAAGCCTCTCAGCTCTGACTGACACATTTCAACACTCTTAGGAAGCCTCTCAGCTCTGACTGACATATTTCAACACTCTTAGGAAGCCTCTCAGCTCTGACTGACACATTTCAACACTCTTTGGAAGCCTCTCAGCTCTGACTGACACATTTCAACACTCTTAGGAAGCCTCTCAGCTCTGGCTGACACATTTCAACACTCTTTGGAAGCCTCTCAGCTCTGACTGACACATTTCAACACTCTTTGGAAGCCTCTCAGCTCTGACTGACACATTTCAACATCTTAGGAAGCCTCTCAGCTCTGACTGACACATTTCAACACTCTTAGGAAGCCTCTCAGCTCTGACTGACACATTTCAACACTCTTTGGAAGCCTCTCAGCTCTGACTGACACATTTCAACACTCTTAGGAAGCTTCTCAGCTCTGACTGACACATTTCAACACTCTTAGAAGCCTCTCAGCTCTGACTGACACATTTCAACACTCTTAGGAAGCCTCTCAGCTGACTGACACATTTCAACACTCTTTGGAAGCCTCTCAGCTCTGACTGACACATTTCAACACTCTTAGGAAGCCTCTCAGCTCTGACTGACACATTTCAACACTCTTAGGAAGCCTCTCAGCTCTGACTGACACATTTCAACACTCTTAGGAAGCCTCTCAGCTCTGACTGACACATTTCAACACTCTTAGGAAGCCTCTCAGCTCTGGCTGACGCATTTCAACACCTTTTATGACTTCCCTCATCATCCCGAGTGATGGAATGTGACAAGTCAAAAACTTTTTTTCCCACTTGTGTAACTATCGTATAGACTACTGTAGCAGCGCATCGATGATGTATCTAATTTTGATGAAAAAAACGCTGGGGTCCACCACTGTACACATTGCTGATGTACCTAAGTTTGCTAAATGAAAAGAGTAAAGCAATGTACTCACCACTACACCAAGGGACTGATTACCTAATGTTGTATACAGTTCTACAGTCTTCGCATTATGTCCTTTGTATTGATAAAGCCACTGGATGGCGAAAAGTTTACAGATAAGATACCCAAATGTTGTACATGTGTGTAATTCCTACACCTGTGCACTCCACAGCTCTCCACACTAGGAAGATTAACACAAATAACTTGCCACTTTCTGAAGCTTGCTAGAAACTGTCTTAACTATTGTGATGGTAGTTAAGGGGACTCGAACCGTTCCTTCCTCCTCTTCCATGGATATAACCTGGTGGCCTTCCATTCCTCAGGCACTCGGTGGCCTTCCATTCCTCAGGCACTCTGTGACCTTCCATTCCTCAGGCACTCGGTGGCCTTCCATTCCTCAGGCACTCGGTGGCCTTCCATTCCTCAGGCACTCTGTGACCTTCCATTCCTCAGGCACTCGGTGACCTTCCATTCCTCAGGCACTCTGTGACCTTCCATTCCTCAGGCACTCGGTGACCTTCCATTCCTCAGGCACTCGGTGACCTTCCATTCCTCAGGCACTCGTGACCTTCCATTCCTCAGGCACTCGGTGACCTTCCATTCCTCAGGCACTCTGTGACCTTCCATTCCTCAGGCACTCGGTGACCTTCCATTCCTCAGGCACTCGGTGACCTTCCATTCCTCAGGCACTCGGTGACCTTCCATTCCTCAGGCACTCGGTGACCTTCCATTCCTTAGGCACTCTGTGACCTTCCATTCCTCAGGCACTCGGTGACCTTCCATTCCTCAGGCACTCGGTGACCTTCCATTCCTCAGGCACTCGGTGACCTTCCATTCCTCAGGCACTCGGTGACCTTCCATTCCTCACGCACTCTGTGACCTTCCATTCCTCAGGCACTCGGTGACCTTCCATACCTCAGGCACTCTGTGACCTTCCATTCAGCAGGCACTCTGTGACCTTCCATTCCTCAGGCACTCTGTGACCTTTACTGGCATTACAAATAATGTTAAGGTTTAAAGGCTATCGACTACACGGTCGTTGAGGCCTCTTATAAACAACTCACAGCCAGTTAAGAATACTTTAATCTTTAAAATACAGAATAAAAGTATACTTTTAGCACATATACACTAACATACACCTCTCGGTGTATGCTGTATATGTGGCGTACAACCTCATGAGTTGGATTATTGAGTTTAAATCTTACCTACTACACGATTGTAATTAAGGCACCTGTCCACCACCTGTCAAGAATACTTTAATACATAAAACAGTTAAAAGTACACTCTCTGTGTATATACACTAAGAAATATACACTTTTCGGTGTATAGTATAAACCTTAGTGATAGATACCAACAAATTAGTTTAGAAAAATGTGAACGAACACTGGGATAATTAGGAAACGTTTAGGTTCTGGACCGAAACGTTTCCGAAATATCTCCAAGAGTTTGCTCATGTGTCCAGTATTATGTATAATATCCTTCTTCCTTGATAGGCAATGTAATATTTAATTTCCTCTCAGCCCCTCGTATAATAGGTCATTACTGACCTTTTACTGACCATAACATTATGACGTTACAAAGCCTTTAATTATACACAGATCTAATAATTATTAGATCTGTGTATAATTAAGGTTTATACTATACACCGAAAAGTGTATATATATACACAGAGTTTGCTTTCTAAAGGGGTGAAGGGGGAAGCCAGTGGAAGGCCTCGGTCAGATGACCACAAACTCCAACTGCGGGTCATAACTAAGACCCACGTCCAGAAACACTTGTGCTGTTTCCTGACAAACCTTATCTAACCTTTAATTATACACATAACAACACAAAATCTAAATATAAAGGGCTTTTGACCCACGTAAACGATTGGTCGGTATAATAATGATGTCTATCAAGAAGCCGGAAACGCTTCCCCTCATACACGATATAAACGTGATGTGTGTGTGTTTGCTGGGGGTTCTGTTTTTTGTATACCATCGTTTACAATAACTCTGGGAGCGAAGCTCCAGGGGTTTTCACATCCTAGTAATTCAGAAGGATGTGACGTATGTTGACGTTTATCGTCTCCTGTGATGTATACATCGATTTGAAATCGTATAGAAGGGCTCCTCTTTTAAGTTTCTTTGTGTGTGTGTGTGTGTGTGTGTGTTTCACACGCACACACTTGCATACATGTATATTCACACCTGCTTGTGGTTGCAGGGGGTCGAGTCACAGCTCCTGGCATCGCCTCTTAACTGACCATTGCAACATTAACTACTATCCTCTTGTGTCTTGCTATACCTATTATTTAAGCTATGTATGGAAAAAATATCAATCTTTACATATTTAACATGACTCAACCACAAACCAGCTACACTTCGTAAACTCTCCGAAACTCTTCCTATCGCCAGACGTTTCGGAAAGATTTTAGCGAAAGTGTTTACAC